TGAGGCATGCAGCGAACTTCACCTGGAACTTAACACTGAAAAAATAAATTTGAAGAAAGAAAACCAACTTATTGTCAATCTTGCCGCTGATCTTGCAAATTCCCTCTCATTTCTTATTTTCCTGGTGCCATTTAAGAGGCCCTTGGAACAAATCCAAGAATGGCCCCATTGCGTTCCTAGCCTACCAAATCCCAAAGCTATCCAGCTCCGAGTGAAGAAATTCCTCTTTTTGGGGGAGTGCTCAAGGAATGTGAGGCAAATTTTTGTGGGAGCTTTCTCTAGCAGATTGATTACCAGGGGCTATACATGCAAAGCGTCCCAGCTGGTGGAAGAATTTCTTACTGCTTTTACTCAGTGGAAATGGTTCCTTCAATGTAGGATCATGGAAAGCAAGAAATCCTGCTATAATTCGTGTGCATTGGCTACTATAACTAACACAAGCAAGTGCTTCTATCTGCCTCAAGTCTATCTGAAAGAAATTGCTAATATACACCTCTTCACAACCTCTGTGGTTGGAAAAACAAGAAAACAATATGGCTGGAAAAACCAAGACGACAGAAGCATAACTTCATTTGTCATACTACATGAGTTACAAAACTCACCTCTTGTTGTTACTGCTGCTGAATGATTCAACTACCTCTCAGACTCCTTGCTCGATTGAGGTTGCCAGTAATTCCCTGAAAAGAATGGGAAAACTTAGTCTTGATACCACACTATTAGTGTGGAGATGTCTTTCATGATTTGTGTCATTCATAGAAAATGTTTCCCAAAACAAGTAGAGTACCTGTTGGACTTCTTTTCCCATTCCTCTCTTGAACCCAACATTTAGAGAAAACCCAGAAATACAAGCAATAGATAAGAGCATCCCAGGTCTGCCATTGTGAGCCGCAGCTCCAGCTCCATTGCTGCTGTTGTGTTAGCACCGTGAGCGCTTGCCCTGTTTCCTGCCAGTGGAGAAAATCAGGGCCCCTAGCTTTCAAAAATCCTGTGTGATCCAGCATTCCATGACTTACAGTTGTGTGTTGGCATCTTTACATTGCTAGAACCCTAGATTGAACAGCAACTAATGAGGCAAGTTGTGCTTGCGCTAGTAAAAGCACAACTCTTTCTAAAAACTGACTGTTTAACTATTCTTAGGATTAAGTGCATGTTGAGGAGCTCTCTTTCTTGAGCACGGCTGGGTGCTTCTTGAGCACAGCAGTCAGATCTGAGTGGATTGCTGCTTCTTGAGCACGGCAGTCAGATCTGGGTTGGGTGTCCATGGTCAGCAAATTTCTTAAGCAAGTATCGTTCTATTATGTTAGGCTAGGGTAATAGCTACAAGCCATGCAGTGGTGTTGTGGAGCTATCTTTCTTGAGTGTGGCATTTGGCAATGCTGTGGCCACAGCACCTAGGCAACTTCTGGAGCTCATTTTCTTGACTTTGGTTTCTTTCTTGGGCATGTCTAAACTTAGTTTTTTTAATTCTTCCCTTTTAACTTCCTTTTACATAGTATCCTTGTGGTTCTTTGGGGTTTTCTTCTTGAGACAAGCAACAACTGCACACAGAATATCTCTAGAATATTCCATGTTTGTATAGGGTAATACTTCACACTCCTAGCCCACCCTAAAGTGCACTACATGCTGGGGCGATAGTGCGTGAGCACTCCACACTAAAGTGCGCTACAGTTATGTTCTAATTGCATACATATAGTGCATGAGTGCTCATTTAGTAGACAATACTAAAATTGTAGAATCAATTATTATTTCTTTAGATAGTAACAAAATGAATTGCTTGGAGAACATAAAGCTTATCTTTCAATCACAAAGATATTTGTTAATAATACTATAATGAACATGAAAGTTAGGCATCATATTTAGTGGCCAATGCATGGCCTTCAGACTCAATATTAAAAAATAAGTGCCTTTTTTAAAAATATTTATAATAATTATATTTGGACATTTCAGCTTCTTATAAGTGTGCTTCCAATATGGGTCTAGAAAAACATGGATTGGTGTAAGTGTTTCAACTTTCCCACAATCGTTCACATATTGCTTTAGGGATAATTATATCAGAAAATCCAACTGATGCAGTTAGTGGCTGTAAAACTCAGTCACTTTGACTTAGGAGTTGTTATTACTCAGATATTACAATCTGAGATATTAAGTTGTGAATAATTAGTTCATTGGCCACTTTCAAATATCACATTCTTGGGAGAAGAAAAGGAACCATCATCTAGAGAATCATCAAATATAAAAATAAAATATATATTTATTAATATATCTCAAAAGAAATTTAAAATTGAGGGCCCAGCTCTTGAACATAGGCAACAATTGCTAGCTGAGGCAAATATAAGAAAAGTCTCTACTCTTGATTGCTGCTCTCAAAAGTACATAATAAACATATATCATATTATAATATTACAGCTTATAACTAATGACTTAATTCTTTATTATCAGGTGTTGTCAAGTTGTAAAAAGAGATGAAAATTTTAATGCAAGGAATTCAATATGGAATTCATGTTGGAAAGACCATCAAGAATTTTATTTCAAAGCTCTTTCCCATGCTATAAAACGCTCATAAAACTTTGATAGAAATTTTGGTATGGTTTTTATTGGATATATTATATGTGCCAAGTATGGTATATTATACATGATTTTAGTAAATCCACTTTTTATCGAGTTAAAAAGGAGTAGAATGGTTTTGCAACTCAAACTTTTTATGGCAACTCAGGTCAAAATAAATCCAGATATAACACTATAGCATTACAAGAATTATTTCAAACATTTGTGGATGTTAATAGTGATAAAATGCCCTATAAATCAAGGACAACACTTGAAGGGATTTGAGATACTCAAAGAGTTCTTCCAGCCATGCTCACCTAAACTTCAATACTTAAGCAATTAAATGAAGAACTTCTTACAGAAGGGCTAAAAACTGCAAGTATTTCAACTTTTAACAAAATTTATAAATCACATCTAGATGAATCGTATTTTATCAACACAACAACTTACGAATATTTATCTATTATACATGATAAGATGGATCATAAGAAAACATCTTTACCAAGGCTTGAGTCTATACCGAAAGATTGTAGTCAAGCATATCCTCTTTCTTTATCACTCTTTGGATTTAGCACATAGTCATGGATTTAGTGCATATGGGCACTTTATTGTTCCACAATGGCTTGATGATCCAAACATAACAATTGGTTCATTATCAAAAAATTTACTATATTTACAACAATTAAAGCATGGAGAAAAAGGAATAATTATAAAAGGGCAAAAGTTGCATAATGCTTTATTAGTCATCAGCTTCAAGAAGAGTCAAAATTTCTAAATAGTCCAAATACTTTGACTTTAGCTTCAGATTTAAAAGTGCATGAGACCTCATGCACTCTTTCAATCATCACAACTACTAATGCACTATGTTTACCACCAAATCCTTTATTACAACTTGATAATTGTAGATTGAAAAACAAAAATCAATAGTTATTTACATATTTATCCCTACTTGTGTCATATTGTCAAAGAATTTTCAAGACAATAGTGGAGGGTGCAATCCTGAACACATGGGTTATGGTTTATGGTTTAAACTTCAATGGTTTATGAGGGTTTATAAAACTTATATGTAACATAAGTTATTCCAAATAATATTTAAATATAAACAAGCAAACCAGATTATTTTTAATTCTAAACTCGCAAGTTACCTGTCGTGAGCTCATGAGCTCAAAGTGGTTCAGGCTTCTGTCTCTGCTCAAAGATGTATTTTCGTAGAGCGCCTAGCTCAGGATCAGTGGACTTTAAAAATATCACCATGTCTTCCAGTTTTGTGCGGGCAAGTGTTTCTGTGAAGAGGTGCTTTATCTTCAAGGATGCGAAATCCAGCAAATATCTAGCACCGTCGACAAGAGGCCGCTTGAAGTGAAGCAACAACCATGATATGTCATCAGACGTCGCCTCTGAAAGGATAGCCCGATAAACTCTAGGTAAGTCCGTATTGGAGAGACTGGTCTAAATCTTCCTTTCACAGGCTCGGTCATTCAGATCGTCAACCTCTGCTTCACGAAGTAGACGATGTATCCCACCGTACCAGTCGTAGTACAAGTCAGCTGCTTTGATGCGTGCATCCAACCGATCTGCCTCATCCAGAAGAGCCACCCGTGGAGCGACTGTTTCGAATACATCTTCCACCGGCGGTCACTCGGCTCGCTCGTCTTCAGCAGTCTATCAGCTTCTTCCCGCATTTCCTTGCTCTCAAGCTTCCACAGGCCTAGCAACGCCTCAAACTCGTCCTTATCCCAAGGGTGAACGAAGAACTTGCTTTTGACCCCTATTGGCTTCGCGCTCTTGATGTTTCTACGACCCGGGGATGCTGCTACCAATATCCTTTTTCCCAGAGGATCTCCACTCTCAATTTTCTGGTCGATGAGGTGAACCACACATTGCTGCAATCGACTCAAGGGGTACTCCGTCTTCTCATGGATGGATACCTGGCCTTCGGACGTGAATTCCCAGATAAAGTCCGCGGACTGGTAGACGACAACGAAGCTGGTGTTCTCAATGGTCATCTCAATGCCGAACCGGATGAGGAAGTACCAGAGGAATGCCGACTTTCCGACGCCAGGATTTCCGTTGAGGCATCCTAACCAATCCATAGACACCGCAGCTTCTATGGCCGAGTAGAGATCATCGAAATCCTTGCGCACGTACAGCCTTGTAATGCCTCGAGGTCCTCTCAGGGTTCCATATTCCGCAGGCACACTCAAGTCTATGAACTTGCCAGCGGCGTATACTTCCGGCTGTTGGTTCAGCACCCCTCCCCACCACGCGCTAAGCGCCCCGGTTTCGCTCCTAAACTTCGCATCAGTTCGCAAACGCTTCCTACCATCGATCGTCGCTGGACTCCAACTCCGACCCATTCGAGCCCTAATTGGATCTAAGTTAAATGTTCTCCTTTTATTTATACGTTTGGCCTTTTTATGGTGTAAAATATTCTGACCTAGATCCATTGGTGGAAGATGTATTTGAACAGTCGTTTCCACGGCTGGCTCTTCTGGATGAGGCAGATCGGTTGGATGCACTACGACTGGTACGGTGGGATTCCTCGTCTACTTCGTGACGCAGAGGTTGACGATCTGAATGACCCAGCCTGTGACAGGAATGTTCATACCAGTCTCTGCAATACGGACTTGCCAAAAGTCTATCGGGCTATCCTTTCCGGGGCGACGCCTGACGACATATCCTAGTTGCTGCTTCACTTCAAGCGAGCCTCTTCTCAACGGCGCCAGATACTTGCTGGATTTTGCATCCTCCAAGATTAAGTATCTCTTTCACAGAAACGCTCGTCAGAACAAAACAGGAAGACTTTAGGACACTTGTACAGTCCACTGATCCCGAGCTTGGTGCTCTACGGGGATATGTCTTTGAGCAGGAAGTTGTCTGGCTAGTGCTAGAGAGCAATTTCGCTGCCGTCACCCTGGTGAGTGTACTGGTTTTATGTTTTCCTCCCTTTCATCACAAGTGTTTTGCAGAATGATAACAAGCTCTGTAGTCTGTGCCAAGCGCGCGTCGTGGAAGAAGGAGCGAACCGTCGCCTGATTGTTTGTAGACAATGCCGAAAATGGTACCACCAGGAATGTGCTCGTTGTCCACTACCTGTTCCTTCCTTGTGGAACTGTCAATCTTGCGAAGGAGAGACAATCCATGAAAGTATAGGCACTGGCCGTCTTAGGCTAAGGTATTACAACGGTGATTTGAAAACTGCGCTCCTGGCTGCAGGTAAGGTGTGAGATTTTCTGCTTACAATATTCGCATTCCTTCCCATTTGCTGCAGGTCGCAATGCTAAAGACTTTGTGTGGAGGCCAATAAATAAAAGCAACGCTGCTTTCGATTTTGCAATCCCCCCTCGGGTTCTTGGCCAAGCCACAGTTGCCAGCGAGCACCCGGTGCCACGGGAGGCCGTGGAGGAAGGTGTGGCTGCTCTGGACGCATGGAACAACGAGTACAACAAGGACCTCATGGATCCCCGGCAGCGGTACGTATTGTTTTCTACAGGCAACTCTTCAATCACTCATTGATTCATTTTAGGGAGTATATCTTGGCGTTCTACTTAGCTCGAGGCAACTTCGAACGTTTCGGGTACCAGAGCTACCGGGACAAGCATCGGCATGTTTGCAACAAAGCCGTAAAAGGTTGTAAATCGTTCGTTTTAAGCGTCACACTTACTTTTGAGTGTGTTACAGGAATTATCCAAGTCAAGATTTTGATCGAAACCTACGAGTTGCTTCAGTTAGCACATCCAGTTGCGGGCTCCGTGGATAAATTGATCGACCTTGAGTACCAGGAGCAGTATGACCTCCATAAAATGACGGTTCGGGAACTCAAGGATTTGGCGAAGTCTTGGGGTCTTAAAGGCTATTCCTCCCTCAAGAAGGATGCATTGGTCGAGGCATTAAATGCTTGGGAGGAGCCACAAGTGCTTGAAAGCCGAGAGTACGAGAGCAAGTCGTACCAAGAAATGTATGGAGATAGAGTTGTCGTTTGATGAAACCTGAATCTTAAGAATGTTTGGCTTATCCTTTCAGCCATTGTCTCTGCATTTTCTTGGATATGTCCAGACTGGGAATATGCCTGGATCACGTAATGCGATCTGTTCGTCCACTCTGGGAATCTTGCTGCCGCCAAAGAGTTCTTCGATAAGATGCCCGAGGTGAGCATCTCGTCTTGGAATTCTGTCTGGACTTGGAACGCTGGAGAAATCTGAGCGCATCGTCGCTATGTTCGTTCTATCATGATGTTCCAACGAGGTGTTAAAAGACTTGCTTGGTGACATCCACACGGCCACACTTCCCATGCATTTGAACTTGGCATCGCGATCGCGGGTTCTAACGCCGCTGCTAGCGATTGATCGATGGATCTCTTTTCCTCTAACGAGATCTCTCGCGGCACAGCACACCCGCAGAGCTGGGAGTGGCGTTCCACGAAATCTTCCAGTGACGAACAAGCGATCAAGCGTTGGTTCATACAAGATGGGATTTTTACAAAAGACTTTTCACTGCCAGCTCCTCGTCTTCGTTCTCGCGGCGACGATCCAACACAAGCAAGCTCCAATGGCGCTGGCGGCGCTGAGAGCCGCGAATCCTTTTCGAAAGCAATGACCCCCATGGCACACCAATTCCCGGCCAGCCTCGCGATCATAGAAGTAACCCACCACCCTGGACGAGAGAAGATAATGGCCGACTGGATTCCCCACGAAGAGAGCGTTGAACACCACGCCCAGCCTCCTCTCTCCAAACATCTCGCAGGCTATGGCGGCGGTGAGCCCCCAGTTCACTCCATCGCTCGCCGCTCCCAGCACCGCCACAAAGATCGCCGCTCCAGGGACTGGGACCGCCGCCAGCGCCGTGCCGATGGAGTTGGAGGCCATCCCCAGCGCCAGAAACGTGGATTTGGGAGTGCCAAATCGCTTCAGGCAGTAGTCCGCGGCCAGGCCGGCGGCGATCCTCGCGAAGCAGCTACTCACGCAGAAGAGCGACACGAAAACGGGGCCTATCTTCTGCGAGTAGCCGAGCGAGATCGCGAGCTGGGTGAGATTGGTGGAGACTGCATTGGCAGCGCCGAATCCAAACACCAGCGCGACGAACAGTAGCCAGAAATCCACGCAGGTGGCGACCTGGGCAAGCGTGTGATCATCGCCAAGTCTAGGTGGTGGTGATGTTCTTCCTGTCTCGTGATCTTTGGTCGCCCCTGTTTTTAGCAGAGCCTCTGTTCTTCCAGTTGGTTCCTTCTCGTCGTGATCTAGCAGGGCCTCCCTCGCAGATCCTGCTACCTCGCGATCTAGCACTCCCCTTCGCGATATCAGCTGTTCCTCACGATCCAGCAAAGTTGCATTCCAATCTTTGTCTTGGAATCCCGCTACCAACGCGATCACAGCCAGTAGCAGCAGCAAGAGCACGATGATCAAGCAGACCATCACCTGTGTAGCACGAGTGAATCGCATGAACACCTCAAGAACACTCACGACCAGGAGCCACGCTGCTAGCGCCACCAGGCTTCCGGACATGCCGTACATGCCACCGTACGGCATCGGCGGAGACCCCGCCGTACGAGAGAGGGGCCTCGCCGCGAGAGCCAATGGAAGCATGAGAGGGATCATCCACGAGAGCATCAACGGGAGCCCATCGCCGCTACCACCGCCGCCACCAATCGCGTAGAACGCCTGGAGGAAGATCGATCCGCCCAACACATGGTAGCCCTTGACCAATCCCAGCACCGCGCCCGTGTCGCGGCCGAAATTCCTGGCGCTCGCCAGCACCACCGGCGTCTGGACCGACGCCTGGGAGATCCCAATCAGGAGCTCGTAGAGACAGAGCTGCCACACCGCGGCGCCATGGATCCGGTGCGTGATGGTGAGCCAAATCATGAGGAGCGCCACGCTCTGGCCGGCAGCTCCGGCGGCGAGCAGCAGCCATGGCGGGACTAGGGCGTAGAGAAGTCCTGGGATGATCCCGAGCGCGCTGCCGACGCCCGAGAAGGTGACGATCGCCGTCAGGGTCTTTTGATCCAGCGCCATGGCGATCTTCATCGCCTGGGAGTAGCCGCTGAAAGTGTAGATCGAGGAATTCAACGCCATGATCCAGCAGCTGGCCGCCAGCGCGATCCATCGGCTGTTCCTGAGATCCCGGAGCCCATATTCCATCGCAAATAACTCCTATCGATCAGCTCAGATCGCTGCTACAGTGCTCGCGAGGAAGAGGACGAACAGGCGTGGATCCCGTGATAGAATCCCTTGCTCCTCCTCGCGAGGGCCGCGAATCCCACACCAGCAATGGCGCAACAAATCGCCACGGCCAGGAACGATGATCCGAAGCACCGCGATCCCACGCACAGCAATCCCTGCTCGTTCTGGGCATCGTAGATCGATCCCACCAGCAGCACCGAGAGGAGGAGCGCGCCGATCGGGCACGCGAAGGTGATGATGTTGAGAATGGAGCTGAAGCTCGCGAGGCCGAAGAGATCCGAGGCGGTGGCGATGGCGAGGCACCAGAACGCGCCATCCGCGATGCCCGAGAGGATCGCCACGAAGAAGAGAGCGCCGTGGACGGCAATGCTGCCCAGGAGCAAGCTTGCTACCTGGATCGCGGCTGTGAGGATCAAGAACACTGGCCTTGGCGTGGCATAAACCCTAAGAGCGTGCTCCGAGAGAATGCCCGAACCGAGCCTTCCAACGCAGCTGCCGATCGAGAAGAGGGAGACGCAAATGGTGATCGTCCGCGAGGAGTAGCCGAGGGAGTGGCCGAATTGCGAGAGATTGCTGATCACCACGCTCGTGGAGCCGGTGCCGAGAAGAACTCCCAGGAAGAGCAGCCAGAAATCCAGCGTTGCAATCGCCTCGAGCGTCGTGAATTCGCCCCCAATCTGCCCGTGGACCGCGAATCCTTGCTCTTGGATCACGGAGGATTCTTCGCTGGATTCTAGAATTCTTGGCAGCAAACACTCGATTTTGGATTCGCGCTCCTCGTTCTTTCGATCGGGCTTGACGAGCAAGTAGATCGGTGAGAGGAGTATGAGACACATTCCAAGATTGACGAGCACGATCTGGATCCGGTCGAGCGTGATGACACTCTCGACGATCACGGCCGCGAGCAAGAAGGCTGCGAGGAAGATCAAGCTCGCCGCGAGGAGCATTGACTTCCAAGAAATCGAGGATGGGGCCTGGAAAGGGGCAGGGATTTTGCGAGAGATGGCGAGGATTGGGAGCGCGGAGAGGAGTGGCAGCAGCCACGCGAGCATCAGAGGCATGCATTCTTCGCGGCCATGGCAGACGAGAAGGAAGAACTGGACCAAGATCGAGGCGCTCAATCCGACGAGGCCCTTGAGGTAGCCAAGAACGAACCCTCGCGCGCCGGGGAAGATCCTCACGCCGCTCACGAGCGCGGCCGTCTGGATGTACGTCTGCGCGAATCCGACGAGCAATTGGAAGAGGGAGAGGTGCCAGAGGGAGAAGAGAGAGGGATTCTTGATCGCGAGCCAGATGAGGAAGTAGCCGCAGCTGCTGTGAGCAATTCCCAGGCCGACGATCGCCGGCGGAGGAATGCGATCGTAGAGAAGCGCCGGGCCGATTCCACTGGAGCTTCCCAGGGTATTGAAGAATGCGAGCGTGTCGAGGCTCTTTTGATCGAGCGCGAGCGCGAGTTTGAGCGCCTGGGAGTAGGATCCGAAGAGATAGGAGGAGCCATTGAGAGATTGGAGCCATCCAGTGGCAATGAGACCCAGCCACGCCATTTGGACGGAGCCAAGAACCCTAGTTTTGAAGAACCCTAAAATAATCTCTCGCTCGCCATCGCCATGGCGGCAGTGGAGGATCGTGTCGAGGCGGAGATTGTCGAGGAGAATTCTGCGAATGGAGCTGAGGGATTGATTGCCAAGGGTGTGGCGCCTGTGAAGAAGGAATTTCTGGTCTCGGCACAGGTGCGTTCTACCATTTCGGACAAGGACGCCGCCAAGATTTCCAGCGAGAAGAAGTCCAAGCGGAAGATAAGAAAAGAGCGAAAGCAGGTGCGAGGTCTTCGTGTTCCTCGTATCTCTGATCGCCATTGTGTTGTGTCTGTGATCTATCCAGGCTAGAAAGCTCGAGGTGTGCAATGCCGTGGTTAGAGCTGGTGATCCAAATGCCTGTCCATTTGGGGAGAACTGTAGATTTAGCCACGACTTGGAAGGCTACTTGGCACAGGTACGTCAATTGTGATTCGTTTCTTTGTTTCTCATCTCTTTGATTTTTGTTTAGAAACCGGAAGATCTTCCTGGAGTTTGCCCGTCAGTGAACTTGAATGTGCCTTGTCCTTATGGAGTAAGGTGTCGATTCTACGGAACTCACACAAAACAAGATCTGCCGAAGGAAAACCCCGAGGGTGCTATGGATGGAGACGAGGAAACATCGGGCGCTGGCGAGATCAATGTTCTTCGAAAGGATTTTCAGAAGTCACTCTGGAAGAAACTTGAGAGCTTTCCTAAAGCTGATAGCCAGCTACAAGCGATGGGTCTCAAAGTGAGTTTCTTCGTTTTCTATCTGCCGCGCTCAAAGCTTTTCTTCTTTCTGAACAGAACAAGGTTTATGGACCTAAGAAGGGTGCTACAACGGAAGGAGAAAATGGTGGAGCTGAAACGCATGACGAAAACAATGACGTATCGGATGACGCAGTTCCGCCTTTGAAGAAGCCAAAGCTTGTGGATCCTGTGGAGGATGCTAAAGAACAAGGAGATGACTGCAAGCTAAACAGCAGGGAGAAGAAGATAATCGACTTGAAAGGCAAGCTTTATCTTGCGCCTCTGACGACAGTCGGGAATCTTCCGTTTCGGAGGCTGTGTAAGAAGCTCGGGGCCGACGTTACCTGTGGAGAGATGGCGATGTGTACAAACCTTCTTCAGGTAAAAGGAAGTTAAAAGGGAAGAATTAAAAAAACTAAGTTTAGACATGCCTAAGAAAGAAACCAAAGAAAATGAGCTCCAGAAGTTGCCTAGGTGCTGTGGCCACAGCATTGCCAGAAGCTCAAGAAAGATAGCTCCACAACACCATTGCATGGCTCGTCACTACTACCCTAGCCTAACATAATAGAACAATCAGTTGAAAAATACTTGCTTAAAAAATTTGCTGACTATGGACACCCAGCTTGCTCAAGAAGCAGCAACCCACCAAGATCTGACTGCCATGCTCACGAAGCAGGAATCCACTCAGATCTGACTGCCGTGCTCAAGAAAGAGAGCTCCTCAATAAACACTTAATCCTAAGAATAGTTAAACAGTCAGTTTTTAGAAAGAGTTGTACTTTTTGCCTCATTCGTTGCTGTTCAATCTAGGGTTCTAGCAGTGTAAAGATGCCAACACACAACTGTAAGTCATGGAATGCTGGATCACACAGGATTCTTGAAAGCTAGGGGCCCTGATTTTCTCCACTGGCAGGAAATAGGGCGGGGGCTCACCAACAGCAGCAATGGAGCTGGAGCTGTGGCTCACAATGGCAGACCTGGGATGCTCTTATCTACTGCTTGTATTTCTGGATTTTCTCTAAACGTTGGGTTCAAGAGAGGATCAAGAAAAGAAAAGTCCAACAGGTACTCTACTTGTTTTGGGAAACATTTTCCATAGATTCTGTGAATGACCTTGCACAAATCATGAAAGACATCTCCACACTAATAGTGTGGTATCAAGACTAAGTTTTCCCATTCTTTTCAGGGAATTACTAGCGATCTCAATCGAGCAAGGAGTCTGAGAGGTAGTTGAATCATTTTAGCAGCAGCAACAACAAGAGGTGAGTTTTGTAACTCATGTAGTATGACAAATGAAGTTATGCTTCTGTCTTCTTGGTTTTTCAAGCCATATTGTTTTCTTGTTTTTCCAACCACAGAGGTTGTGAAGAGGTGTATATCAGCAATTTCTTTCAGTTAGACTTGAGGCAAATAGAAGCACTTGCTTGTGTAGTTATAGTAGCCAATGAACATGAATTATAGCAGGACTTCTTGCTTTCTATGATCCTACATTGATGAAACCATTTCCACTAAGTAAAAGCAGTAAGAAATTCTTCCACCAGCTGGGACACTTTTCATGTATAGCCCTTGGTAATCAATCTACTAGAGAAAGCTCCCACAAAAATTTGCCTCACATTCCTTGAGCACTCCCCCAAAAAGAGGAATTTCTTCACTCGGAGATGGATAGCTTTGGGATTTGGTAGGCTAGGAACACAATGGGGCCATTCTTGGATTTGTTCCAAGAGCCTCTTAAATGGCACCAGGAAAACAAGAAATGAGAGGGAATTTGCAAGATCAGTGGCAAGATCGACAGTAAGCTTGTTTTCTTTCTTCAAATTTATTTTTTCAGTGTTAAGCTCCAGGTGAAGTTTGCTACATGCCTCATTTTGCAAACTTCGTTATGCATGACTGCATGTTCATTCCTGTCAGGAATCCCCCAATTCTTGCCACATTCCTGACTCTCGCTGGATTCCTGACTTGCAGACTACATTCCTGACTCTCAAGACACTTCCCTATTCCTGACTCTCGATTTCCCATACGATTCCTGAGTCTTGAGCCACATTCTTGATGATGATGTGGTGCCTCCTCGACCTCAACTATATTTAGACTGTCCTCGATCCAAGAGTGGTGGAGCTTCATTAACCTATAGTATATATAGGTTAGCTTTGTTCCATTTCTTCACAATCTGAATCAACACCAGTTTAAGGCTTTTTTTTTGTTTTCACTAGCTTTTCTCTTTGTATTTTGCATTTTCCAGTCTTGATCTTGTTAGGGGTCTTGACAATTCCCTTCTTGAAGAGGTAGGAAATTTCCAGTTGCTTTCCTAGCCTTCCAAAAGCTATCCAGCTCTAACCGAAAGAACTTAAGCTCCTCTTTTTTCATGTGGAGTAGCTTCTGTGCTTGTGGTTTTGTCACTCACAGCTTTGCTTTTAGTCTTGTGTAGATATGTTGAATTTGTACCATTCCTGGCCAATCATAACCATGTATGCTCGAGGAGCGCTGCTCATGATCATTCTTCATCAAGCCAAGATTATACCTAGGAGAACCATCATCTCTTCTACTTGGAGGATCCAATGCCATCTTGTTCCATGTAATGGCAGTCTGGCTTGAGCACCCTTTTATTGTTGGTTTTACAATCACAAACCCTATACAAAACAAATGGATATTTTACCTTTTCACCAAATATTCTTTCATCATCTTTAAGATAAAAGAATGTTTTCAGCAACTTAACCTGAAACCTGTGATGTTTAAGCATTTTGTTTTCAATTCTATTCATGGATCTCTCTGATGACACTACTTGGTCTTTCTAGAATGAGTATCGTTGATGTTGACATTACATAGTCTTACTCCAGATTGTTATTTGAAAGTCAACTTGAAGGAATGCAGGCAAAAAAGGTTTCATAAAGGTTGTGGTAGAGGAGGTTTAGGCGCACATGGGATTAAACAAGAATATTCTTAGGGTTGGGAGGGTTACCAAGGCACCAAAATAAGAAAAATAAAACTCTCTCTACTCTAAATGCCTAGCAATCCATGATGATGTGTCATGCTTATAACACATAACATGAGAGCTCTAACAATTTGTAATTCAAATATGGAGGACATCAAGTTGCTAGTTTTGAACAACTGGCAAGTACTAATGGCTAAAGACGATATTTCTGAGACTGACTATTTAGTTTGTACAAGTTCTTAGTGATGCCATTTGGTTTGAATAATGCTCTAACAACTTTCCATCGGATGATGGATGAGGTTCTTTGTGATATGCTAAAGATGACTGCTGAATTCATCGATGATATCTTGAACCATACTGAGGGGAACGTGGGAAGAACACGTTTGTGATGTTCATAAAGTGTTGGATCGACTTTAGAAAGTTGGTTTAAAGCTAAAGCGGTTGAAGTGTTTGTTTAGGTCTAAAAATACAACTTATCTTGAGTACCATATTTCTTGTGAGGGTTTACAAGTTGATCTTGATAAATTTGTGGCTGTTCTAAAATTCTCTACTTTGAAGTGTGTAAATGATGTGCAAGGCTTCCTAGGCAAGGTGTAATACCTCAATCGTTTTGATGATCATGTTTCTGATCGCATTGCATCATTGCGAGCATTGTTGAAGTCATCAGCATCATCTTTCATCTAATCTACAGACAGTGAGTGGGTGTTTATTGATCTCAAAGGGATATTGACGAGTCCACCAGTTTTAGCATATCCTAAGTACACTTGACTTTTTACTTTGTTCGTGGATACTTCTGACATCGGTCTTAGGGGTGTGTTGATGTAAGAGAGCCCATGTAGCGCACGTGGTTTTGACCCTTTATCCTATGGTGATTTACCATAGGATAACACCATGAAGAGGAACCTAAACCCTCTTTGTGCCATGTGACAGATGCCACGTGTCACATGCCATGTGTCCATGCCACATATCCATAGGAACCCGAGGTTCAGGGCCTTGGGCCGCTGAACGAAGGAACGGTGCCAAACTCCCAAGCGTGGAGCCAAGGAGTGATGGAACCGGACCACAGAGCAACTCCCGAGCATACAGCCCAAGGAGCGAAGGGACAGGGGCCCGGAGCGACTTGGAACAGTCCTGGAGCAACCAACATCCCAATGCCAGGACCAGCACGCAAAACGGAGCCAAACGGAGTCTAGCACTATTTTGGCATACTGGTGGCCTAACGTGAGAGTATGGGTACTCCACCAGCTAGCATGGAATGGAATTTGGGTTTAGACCCAAGCCGGACGCAGAACAAGAACAGGCACGCAAGTGGGAGCTAGACTATGCCTCAGGTTGGTCGGCCATGCCTAACCTACCCACTATCCCTACTATACATTTGGAACCCCCCACAGCCCCCCCCCCCCTTGAGGAACACACGCTTTGGGCTTTCACCCCAAGCCTCCCTTAGTATTAGGAGTTAGTCTCTAGGACAAGCTCAAAATTTACTAAATATGGAATGTCCTTAGATTGCGAATTTGGACACGGGACGAACACCATTGTGTTCGGGCCGATCTCTACATTCCGTAGATATGCCAAATGAGCAAATCTGGACACTTTCCATAAATAGCATTTGGGACCGAAACAAGACTAACACAAAGGGCATGATAGCAAGGGTGTTTGGCAGACACAATAAGCTATCATCCAGCGATATTGAGGGACTAATCTCAATACGCGAGGGTTCTTGTCAAGCCAGTGCAAGACAGAGCAAAAGAGAACTAAAAGCCAAGCCGAGTATGCTCAGCTAAAAACACATAGGAGTTCCTACTTTATGTCCATCTGGCTAAGTATAGGTGCTAAGCCCAGTTTACTAACACTTGAACAAAAGGGGTTAATAAAGGGAACCAGCAATACCGACCTCCTGCCATCGTGGCAGTAAGGTAAGAGTGTCCAAAAGGACTAGCCGACAGGTAACTTTCGATACTCGAAATCACATTTGCGACAGCCTAAGTGTGCCTAATTAGTGCCATCCTATTGATATATCACCCATATATTACAACTAGTGGAGGCAAACTATTCCATGACAAAAGAGTGTTTAGCAGTAGGTTGGAGTTTTGAGAAACTTCATGCTATCTACATGGTTCTCAAACATTATTAGAAAGTGATCATATTATAATTACTTTATTATTAAAGTGGAAGAATTTGGTTGGTTATACTGTTTAGTGGGCTTTGAAGCTTCAAATATATAATTTTGATGTTGTTCATTGCCTGGGAAGTTTTATGGCTGATGCTTGTGCTTTTTTTTGAGCTCCTCTTCCTTTTTCGCTCTCTTTGCATGTTTTTTATGAGCTTGTTACTCCCGTATTTGTGGATTTTTTTGTCAAGGATTCTATACCATCAGTGTTTGTTATACTTGATGTTCAATGTCGACAAGGTGTAAAGCAAAATTTACCTTCTCTTAATAAGGTTCACGAAGCTCAAAAGATTGAGCCATAAATTCAAAGGCTTCAAGATAAGTTTGAGAATTTTACATCACTTACTAATAGCTTGCTATTCTAGTATTTACATTCTTATTTTTGCCTTGAGGGTAAATACAAATCCTAATGACTATTTATGGTTGGTGGTGCTTTCGATTTTTTTTCCATGCTTTCTCCATGCCTACCATGTGTAATCTCCTGAGTTTGGACTTCCCGGGAGGTCACCCAGCCCAGTACTATTCAAACCCAAGGACGCTTAACCCCAAATATCCCAAGACCCTTAACCGATTGGAAAAGGGGGTGCACTCTTGTTCATGGGCCCTTTCCCTCTATATTTGAACCCCATGGATCGTCTCTCAAGTCGTTCTCTTTGGTTGCTTACAATCCACCACGCTCCCTACAAGTTCACGCCCTCGTGAACGAAAGCTGAGAGCCGCAACTCTCCCAAGAGCCCCGCTCTCTTGTCACCCTACCCCTCAGGTCGAGCCCAGCGGGAGCAAACTGGACCAGCCAGATGTCAATCAACATGTGGTGTGATTCCCCTAGCCAACCAACAGAGTTGGACCCGAGACCGCTCCGATACCAAATGTAATCTCTTGAGTTTGGACTTCCCGGGAGGTCACCTAGCCCAGTACTATTCAAACCCAAGGACGCTTAACCCCAAATATCCCAAGACCCTTAACCGATTGGAAAAGGGGGTGCACTCTTGTTCATGGGCTCTTTCCCTCTATATTTTAACCCCATGGATCGTCTCTCCAGTCGTTCTCTTTGGTTGCTTACACCATGATTCTCCTATTCTAGGTGGGCATATAGAATATCGCTGTATGACTGAGAAGCTGTGCAAGTCTTTCTATTGGCAAAAGATATGATATGATGTTATCCAGTATATGTGTAGTTACATTTGATGCCAAGCTTATAATACTCCCTCTTGTGCTGTGGAGGAATGGTTAGAGTCAATTGTAATTTCCCATCGATT